CCCCCCCCCCCCCAATCGTATAAAATCATGCACACTGTCTAATACATTTTACTAATCACAAATCATAGTCAAATTGGGTGTCATCAAAGTAATTGAGTCCCTCCTATCGAATGAGAGCTGACCAATCACAGACCATTTATACAACTTATTTGCCTACCATGCGAGGTGACTCACAACTGCCAAGCAAGTCATTCCACTTGCGTAGGAAGGAGGCTGTGAAGGGGGTGGTCCACCATATGGTGGGGCGGCATTTTCGGCCACTGAAGAGGTTTTGGCATTTCGCACCTTTTGCACGGCGGGCGAGGTTTCCCTGGTCATCTGATTACCCGAGTCCTTCTCTGATGCGTTGGCGTAGTGCAGCGGTTCTCAACCTGTGGTTCGCGACCCCTTTGGGGGTCGCACGACCCTTTCACGGGGGTCGCCTAAGACCACCTGAAAACACATATGTTCTACGGTTATAAAGTATCAACGAAAATAATTTTGTGGTTGGGGGTCGCCACAACATGGGAAACTGTATTAAAGGTTCGCGGCCTTAGAAAGGTTGAGAACCACTGGCGTAGTGGATAAGCGCGAGGCATAGCGAGGGGGTGACGTGGTCTCCACAGCCCTTGCATAGTTTCGGTTTAGGAAGGCGCGGGCAGCGACACGCATTCACTGCAGCATCACCGTGTATCGGTTTACGGTGGTACCTCTAGGCCAGGGGTCACCAAACTGCGGACCGGATACGGCCCACGAAGCCAGTTTATCCGGCGGGCCGACGGAATTGAATTTTGTTTGTTGTTGATAAAACGTATGGAACGCGAGACGTCGTGATACAATTTCAATATTATGTTTAGAATACTAGGAGATCCTCACACGTACAAAGACCACCTGGCTGCTATGCACCTTAATTTACCGTTTTAAATTATTGCATCTAGATTTTCTTGTTTATTGCAGACCTGTTTACTCTCGAACTCCAAAAACTGCAAAATATCGCATCAAACTTGTACAATACGGTATCTTAACTGTAAATAAATAAACTTACAATATATATATATATAATGAACACAATAAAACGCACGTCGCAATGACTAGTGACTAGTGGGATCGAGTTTAACTGGCGTCAAAAAGTTAATGACTAAAAGTAGACGACTGACGTTTAAATTTAAAGCCGAATCTGCGGTCATTTTGTTTCGCAGACGGGTATTTGCTCTAGATTGGTTTGAGTGGACGTACGGATCAAAGTCTGTCACAGGTAAAATAAACTTACTGGTGAAATTTAATTTGGTTCAAACAACGCCGGCCTTTAGGGTGTGCGACCTGTGCCCTCGCACGGGGCGCTTTGGCCATAGGGGCGCCTGGGGCGCCCAGAAAATATTTCAATTCCTTTAGTTTATTTTAGTGAAGTGTGAACCTCAGGTCCGGGGGTCGAGAAACGGTATTATAACTTTTAGTCAAATCGCTTTTCATACAAGGAGTTTTTTTACAATGTAAGTTGCATTCTTAATTTGGATACTAACACCGGGGTTTGGGAACCAATCGAAAGGGCGTGGAAATTAATTCATTATTACCGTAGTTTCGTGTCCCTCTAACAATTATTTCATGCAGCAGAGAGAAACAAAGAGCTTTCCGGTGCGTTAAAATGTGCATGTTAAAGTGCATGCTGCTAACCATCCTGCATGGAACAACGTCTAGAAAAAGGCATGTTCACGGGAGTGCAAAAACGTTTGTACTCTATAATCTTCAGTGGAATCAGCTTCAACGTGTTAATCATGGCTGGAGTGAGGGAAGGTCTGGTGGGGGCTGATCAGGACACAGTTGGAAGATTTGCAAATTCCTGGGGCGCTCTGTTCATACACTGCATCATACACCGCCAGGCACTCTGTGCGGGGGAAAGACTTAGATGTTTCTTGTGTACTGAAACCAGTTCGTTTTCTGCTGTGAACTTCATTTCGGAGACATGCACTCAACCACCGCCGGTTCCAGGCTTTTCTTGAAGAAATTGGTTCTGAATTTTGTGACTTGCCTTTCATAGAACAGTGGGGTGGCTTACCTGTGGTAAAGTCCTGTTTAGTTTTTACAATCCATGAAACGAAATAGATATTTTTCCCACGAAAAAAAAAAGACAGAGCTGATCCACGGCGTTTAGATCCTTATACCTGGCTGTCACAGCTGTCAGATCCTACCTGACTGTCACAGCTGTCAGATACTACCTGGCTATCACAGCTGTTAGATCCTACCTGGCTGTCACAGTTGTCATTTTTGGTCGACGTCACATCCCTCATGAATGAAGTGAACTTGAAACTTCAGGGAAACGATAACCTCATCTGTGACCTCTACAGAATCATCAAAGGATTTCGGAGAAAGCTGTCATTGAGACACAACCGGGAAAGAGAAAATGTTTCTCCTTTTCTCCGTTTCAAACAGTTTTGCGCTACAATCGACGAAGATGTCAACCTCAATTTTCCGAAAAAAAAATATTATTGATAACTTGAAGAAGCATTATTTGGAGAGATTTTCAAATCTTGACGAAATTGAGAGTGACATTCATCTGTTCAATAATCCATTTGATTTTAACCTTGATGATGTGCCAGTTGAACTACAGTCGGAGCTCATTGATTGGCAAACACATGACTTGTTGAAAGGAACGCACAAAGAAGGAAAACTTGTTGAATTTTACCGCTGCTAACCTGATGTTGAGTTTTTGAAAATGGAGAACTTTGCCGCTGGTATGGCATCGGTGTTTGGAACAACGTATGTCTGTGAGCAAACATTTTCAAATAATGAGGACTGTGAAGTCAACACATCGAACGAGAGTGATTGATGAAATTTGACAACAGTTCCCTTGATTGGATGCAACAACTCCAAAACCAAACATTGATGATATCTTGAAAGCCAAACGCCGCAGTTTCACAAAGCTCACTAACCTTTTCTTTGCTGATTAGTTTGCGATATTCGAAAAATATGCGCACTTGCTCTGATGTAAATATCGTTTTGCTAACGTCGCCTTCATTGATACATTTTTTAGTAAATAATTATGTTGGTCGGTTTCTTTTAGTGTGCATTGCTCGCCACTCACTCATGATTAACATGGAATACTAAACTTAGCTTATCGTCTGCTATTGTACATGATGATTATACGGCCCACGCTCGTCATCTTGCCCGTTAACCGGCCCACCGTGAAATAAAAAGTCTGGTGAATCCCTGCTCTATAGGCAGATTTCTGAACGTTAATGCTTCAAAACCTTTGATGTGTATGGTCCATTGCGGTGACCGGACAAACGAACGAACGCAGGTCAAGAAAACGTTCAGCGTGCTTCAGGGGTCGACTCAAAGCTGGAACGAGTTGGAACTTTGCCGAATTTTCGGCCGGTCACTAACGTGACTAGTGTTAAGGTCGGTGCAGAGCCGTTCTTAGGAGTTTGGGGACCCTAAGCATGGAGCGTAGGTTGGGGTCCCGGAAAAGAGGGGGGGGGGTCCGATCGCTATTTATACTTTTCCATTCCCACGGCCAAGCCCCCGATTTCCTTCTGCCACCCCCAAAGCTCCCCCCCCTGCTGCTTCCCTTCCCCTGCCTCCAAATTCAACACTCAGAATAATAAATTTCAGGATGAGGAAGGTAACGTGAGTGACACAGACGGCTGCAGTGCCAGTTTAAAAAAAAAAAAAACTGGGGGACCGAGGGCGCCTCACGGGGGCCCCCTCACGTTCAGGGCCCTACGCGGATGCGTATTCAGCGTATGCCTAAGAACGGGCCTGGTCGGTGAATAGGGGTCAAAGGTGGTGCTCTATTTCTCGTGCCGGAAAAAAAAAATGAAAACGCATTGTAAGTTAAAAGTTTGCCGTCTCCGATGTTCATTTCCGGCTCATTTCCTCAAAACAGAAAGATGCGAGGTTGGATTAGTTCATAGGACTTAGCCGCTAGGCAAATTTATCCGTAGGTTCAATTGGCTATGCACTCATTTGCCAGTGGGTCCATGTGTCCTGCGTTCATTTGTCTGGGAAGCGTTCACTGCATTGATCGGAAATCAATTTATAATCTCTCCCCTCCCCTGGGACGTCATTTGCCCATTCCCTTCCCCCTCCCTGAATTTGCAGATTTTATTTAAATTATTTTGTACTGTGGCGCTTCTAGTAATAAACAACTCAACAAGCTGGCTAAGTTTTTGGTTTTGACCTTGCCCCTTCCTGAAAAAAAAACATGAAATGCCTTTCCTGCGGACCATCCGTATATTTCGAACGCGCTGAGGAGAAGCGGCGCAATGACAATTATCACTGGCAGTATATTACGGCAAAAGATTGTTAATTAATATAAAAAGTTGTAAATCCATTGAAAAGGAGAAGAAACACTGGGGGTATATCATTATAAAACTTTTAAAAAACTTACCTAGTTCCAATACAAAAATTTATACGCGTATGTGTAGGGGTGGGGTGGGAGTGGCTGAGGTTACACCATCAGTTAATACATGTAAATATTCATATGGTATGACCCCCTCTGTACGTGTATGTTAATTGCCTCTGAATCTTAATTATCTTTTAAATTTATGTTTATTGCTTTTGATCTGAGACTGGGAAAATGTGAAAAAATCTGGCCACACATCTGCTACATTTGCTTTTCGTTCATCTGATTTGTTAAAATACATGTTTTATATAAAAGTTTTATATTAAAATCCCTTTAAAAACATGAAAAATACACGACAAACTATTTGGAAAACATAAATACATGTTACAGTAACCACTGAAGTGTTTTAATATTGTACCTTCAAGTAAATAGGAAATTTTAAATTTATTTAACTAGAAATAAAATATTTATTTATTTATTTAGGCATTTTTATATAGCGTTTACCTTAAAGCTCTAAGCGCTTTACACTTATTAAAAACATGTAAACTAAGTAAAATAAAAACGAGACACTAGGATAGTAACTACTATACTATATATAGTACAATTAAAATGTCTATAAAACAAGGACGTTTTGGCCTATACTACAGGATCAACCCGAGACTGAAAATGAGGCAGGGCAAGGAGGGTGCATCACAGGTCATAGGCGGACCTAAACAGATGGGTTTTAAGGGACTTTTTGAAAGTGGACGAAGTTTCACAATGACGGATATGGAAGGGGAGCTGGTTCCAGAACGTGGGCCCATGGAAGTAGAAGGAGCGTTCACCGATGGTCTTAGTTTAGGTTCTTGGGATTGAGATAATATATCTCGCTCAAATAAGGGATTTCCCAAGCTTTTATTGCTTTGTTGAATTTAATTGTTAAACTTTGTTTGTCAAAAGCGACTTCCTGTTTCTGTTTCGTAATTAGAGGTATCACGTTCATTATTTTGTTGTCCATTTTTTGCTTCTATTTTTTCCCCATACTTCATACCTAGTTTCACATATTTCATGTTTCATTTTCGTATTTTCGTTAAATTTCTTTTTAACGCATAATTTTGTTTTACTATAAAGTATAGTGCGTTCAAAAAGAAATTTGACGAAAATTTTAACATATTATATGAACTGAAAAAAAGATATGATCAAATTTCCATTCGATCAAATTTCCGTCGATCAATTTTCCGTCGACGAAATTTCTTTGAAACAAATTTCCGGTAACCCAATAAATTATATGGGACCTTTTTAAATAAAAAATAAAAGTAATAAATAAAAGATAAGTTGGATTCTAATTATTATTTTGATTGAGTTAAATGAGGTAATTATTTTAAGAAAGATATACATCAGTTGTTATGACATTCACTGCTGAATAGTCATAACAAATAATTCTACAGGAAGTTGAGACTATAAAGACACTCCAATTCAACTATTCCTAACTGACAAACTGACTGTCGGTAATATTAATAAGATTTTTATTTCTATTAAGGTGAAGAATACAAGATATGATAATTTATTAATAATAAGATTTTGTTTCAGTTAAGTGTTTAAGTTTAAGCTCTTTTCTAATATTTAATTTATATTTTTATTTTGTGTCAACCAGACTCAGTCTCAGTCACACTCTGATCACTCTGTCTGTTACTGTTTAATAAATTCTATAAAGTTATAATTCAAGTCTAGGACAAAGTCTATGATAAAATTACAAGAGTCTAGTTAATTTTCATTTTTGATTGAAATTAATGGTGTATGTAAATAGTAAATGTAATGCATGAATGAACATTAAAATTAAAAGGATAATGACAATGAAATGGTTAGCCGAATAAAGCATTTTAAGAAAAAATATGGATAAATTTCAGTTAAAAAGATAAATTTAGAATTAAATCATTGATGAATAAATAGGGCATTATGCATAGGCCTACACTACTATACTCACTGATACACATTAATTTCATTAATCATTAATTAATTATTATAACTTTAGAAAGAAAAAGAATTCTCACACAAAAGTTCTTCTTCTTCTATATCTTAAGGGCCCATGATCAATTTATTGATCATTTTGGCTCCTATGCATCTAGATGGGATTTGCAATGTTTCTGTGCCTGGTGTTGATGAGGAAATTTCACTGATTTCCAGTGCCACTTTGTGAGGGAATCATGCACTATCACTAGGGGTTTGAAGGCTTCTGGCAATGGACACAAATGTGTCTTGTGTTGTCGCCTCAACCATTCCTTTTGAAAGCTTGTTCCAGTCCCTGATTGTCTTGGGCAGGAATGAGCAGCTCCTATACTGGCTTCTTGCTGGTATGAGCCTGAATTACCTGTCATGGCCTCGTCGCTGTCTATGGGGGAGAAGGACGAGTTTCTGTTTAATACTGGAACAGTGGACCAGCCCATTATTTATCTTGTACATCATGGAGAGCCTGGATTGTTGTCATCGTTCCTCCAGCATGCTGCCAACACTAAAGGTATTCCTGTAGCGGTTTAGGACAAATCGTGCTGCTCGACGCTAGACCGCCTCCAACCTCTTCTGGGTAAATGGGTCCCAGACTGAAGATGCATAATCTAAAACCGGACGGACAAAGGCTATATATGCTCTTTCTTTCACACAGGAGTTGCCAATCTTTAGATTTCGCCTTAAGAACCCCAGGGTCTTGTTTGCTTGGTTACATACATTGTTAATATGCTCGTCCCAGCGGACCTCTCTTTGAATGGTAACACCCAGGTACTTTACGGAGGAAACTGGCTCAAGTATATGGCCATGCAGTTCGTATTGGTAATGTAGAGGAGTACAACTTCTAGAGACTGATAGTGTCTGGCAGGGTGAAATTCCATGTCCCAGCTCATCTCCCACTTAGCTAACAGATTGAGATCCTGTTGTAGCTGATCCTGGTCAGATCTGTTGGCGATCGTCCTATACACTGCTGTGTCATCTGCGAACAGTCTTGCTTGTGATGTCAGTTTCTCTGGTAGGTCATTAATGTATGCTAGGAACAAAAAGGGGCCCAGCACTGATCCCTGGGGGACTCCTGACTTCACATCGACAAAGGAGGAGCTTGTACCGTCCACCACTACTGCTTGGCATTGGTGGCTGAGGAAGCTAGAGATCCATGTTTTAGTGGTGCCTTGGATCCCATATCTCTGGAGTTTGTCTAGAAGCAAACTATGATTCACACGGTCAAATGCCTTTGCGAAGTCCATTACCAGCACGTCAGTCTGCTTGTGGTTCTCCAGATTGGTCATCAGGTCTTCTACAAATTCAAGATGCTGGGTCTCACATGATCTATTGACTCAGAAGCCATATTGACAGTCATTGATGTTTGTGTTGTTTACTCACATATTTAAGTTTTTAAACCCCCCCCCCCCCCCCNCCCCCCCCCCCCGTCTATTAAATTATTTTAAAATAATATATGACATACCGGTATGTGTATACTGATATAAGAAAAAGTTAATATAGGTTATTACTCAATGACAGCTAAATTAAACAAACTGACAGTTTGTCACAATATGTCACTCCCTTTTATATTAAGTTAATATTTTGTCATACTACCTGAATTTATAGTGAATTGCAGTTAAGTTCTTAGCTATAATTTTTTTTAATAATGACTTTCTTTCTGCTAATCTCCAGCTTTTTAAAAGAAATAATCATGGTAAAGATTCATGTCAAACGAGGTGATGAAAGTCAGTTTGCATATGAGGCTACTCTAGACACACCAATGTCAGACATATTAAAAGACTGTGCAATTATTTATAATGGGAGACTCAAAATTGACAGAATTTGTGGTGGTAAGTGCTTTAGGTTGAAAATGTTTAAACAAATTTTTTTTAAAGTTATAAACTTATATAACTTATAGTGGCATTTTTAATTTTTCTGTCATAAAAATTTAAGCAATTTAATACGTTTTATAATGATGTCCATTTCTAATGAAAGGCTAAATGAGTGTAATTGGCCATACCGTTAAGACAATAATCTCAGGATTATTTAATATTGTAAATAATTTATTAAAACAGTAATTATATACATGATACAATATAAATGTTCATAATTAAACCTGATGTTAACATAATGTCCTGTTTAATTATAATTATTGTAAAATCTGTTTAGAAATGGAGGAGCTGGCAAAACATGGTGTATCCCTCCCACCCAACATGCAGGGACTGACAGATGAACAAATAGAAGAACTCAAATTAAAGGATGAATGGGGAGAGAAGTGCCAACCCAGTGGTGGTGTTAAATTCAATAAAGACAAAATAGGCTGTAGAAATGGCCAAGGTAAATTGTAATCTCATAGTGCAATTTTTAGGTGGTGCACTGATAATTGTAGTAAAACTGTAAAGTTTATATTTGTGAAAGAATGTATGAGATGAAGATTATATAAGTTTATATAATGATATAAACAATATGTATATGCTGTTCCCTTTTGATGAATGATTTTCACATCTTACTTTAGCTCCCACTCCAAAAATGGCTGAAGTTATAACAAAAACAATTAAAGAAGCAAAAGACATGATATCAAAGGTACATTTTTTTTTGTATATCATTATGTTGTTTCTTTGTGCTTTCACAATGAACTTACTAGATAAGGCAAGAGTAATATTTAGTGTAGTGGCCCTAGTGGAAAATTTAGCAGACATTCACTTTTGTTCCATGCTGTATGGCAGAATTTTGTGACATAACAGAACTATTTAGTTCTTCAGCTGCAACTGCAAAAAGTAAACAGAGAAAACTACTGTTGTTTTTTTTAAAATATATTCTCACTGGCCCGTAGGATTTATGTGACAAATGAACAAATTTCTTTATTCAATTAGCCATTATTTTATTTCTTGTCATACATACATTATGCCATAGTTTTATTTATTTACTATAAGGATATGGTATTGTACGATTTTGAGAGGGTTAAGTACCATTTTGAAAGAACATTGTACTATTTTGGGAGTTCAAAGGCAACCAGGTCTGGATTTTGTGTCTATGACCATGTCTCTAAGACTCTTGTCTCATGACCATGAGGCATGAGCCTCTATTGTAACATTAGTTGCTAGTTTACTGTATTGAATTCTCTGCAGTGTTGAATATCTCCTCATTATGATCATACAAGTTTAAAGCAAGCATGAAAGAAATGAGAAATGCCTCAAATTTCCATAATTTCTCTCACAGTGCAAATGATATTTCTGCAATGTTTCATATTTTTTATTAACATTTATGGACAAATTATTTTATGTCAAATTTGCAATGACTGTTTGTAAATTTACTGACAGTTCAAACTGGCATCCCTGTCCTGGACAACTAAAACATAATTCTGCTGTTTGTTCTATTAAATACACAATTTACATAAATGTACCTATTATAAATGACTAAAGATTCCCATTCTAGAAATATATCTTTTTCTAGCAATTTCAAATGTGTTTATCCCTCAGAAAAAAGTGGAGCAGGATATATTAGTGACACAAAAAACTGTTCAGGACGCACTCGACATTTTACGCGGAGCAGTGATGATTGTTTACCCTATGGGCCTTCCGCCTTATGAGCCTATTAAAGCTGAATTTGAAAACACAGAAGATCTCTCAGGAAAGCAGGTGGGGGTAGTTATCTTCAAGTAATTTCAATCCAAATAAATTTCATGTGTCTATATCACTGTGAGAATATTGAACTCATACTATGAATCTATGACGTTAGTTTCTGTTAGAAAATCACTCACTGGTAATGAAGTTTTCTATAACCAGAATTCCAGTTTTCCTTCTTTAAAAAGAACAACAACTTTATTTAAAAATACTGAAATACCACCTCAATAAAATATATATTTAAAAAAAAAAACTTTGAGTAGTTATTTAATGAATTATGATAATTTCCTTTGCTTTAAAGTATTTTATTTCACAAACTAGTGTCATTTCTGATCTAAGTTATCTTAAACATTATAATTTTTATATCTTACATACATCTTTAAAAATTGATTTGAAGCAGAAGAAATATATTTTGTGTTTCCAGGCATCTCTGGAAGTGATAGGTATTGATGAAGCCTCCTTGTGGTGGGCTGGAAAAGAATTATTACCTCACAAAAAGTTGGGTGATTTTGTTGGCAAGAATGAGAAAACCAAAATTGTTGCCAAGCTGCAGAAGGTGTGTCCAAGTCGTATTTAGTTATTGAAAAAAAAAAAGAAGAGTTTTACAAATCTTTTATCTGTTTTGTAGTCTTTTCCACTTCGGGAAAACTATTATAAATTCAATCCCCTGTAAGCCGCGCAGGATGAATGTTGATGCTGTAGGAACATTTCAGAAAATCACAATGCAAGAGGCGAAGTTAATTAATTTGTAAGGTATCATGCTTTTCAGCATAATCGTGGCCTTAATGAACTAAAATGATAATAGAGAGCATGCTGTTCCAATATTGAGCTGTTATTCATCCTTTGAGTTTGAGTGGGTGCACAACAAGTGGATGGGAAATGGAGGGGGGGGGGGGACTGTTGCTGTAGAGAAGCTTCTGTTCTCAAGGTGCAGTGATGTCAAAAAGGACAGAACAAACTGTTTTGATACCTCTATTTAAAACTTGTCAATTTCTGTATATCATTATTATTATGTTTACTATTTCACACTTTAACACCAGCATTACTTAAGTATTCTAAATGGTGTGAATGGAATGTATGTGCCTTTAAACAAATTGTAAAATAAATAATGCTGTAAATAACTGCTAACTGCTTTTAAAAGATAGTTTTAACACATAAAGTTTAAAACCAATCTCTACTCTGCAGAGAGGTCATGGTGCCCCAGCCAGAGAGCCAGTGGTCAGTCCTGAAGAACAGAAAAACATGATGGCATATTATTACAAAAAGCAAGAAGAAATGAAGGTATGCAGTAATTGGGATGTTTGTTAGACTGACAGATATTTACCAAGTTATGCAAAGATTTTGACCTAGGGACATTAAGAGTTAATAGGCAATAACCAAATGACTATAAAAATTAACCCCCTATATTTTAATTCGGTTTATAATATTAATCTAATTAATTTTAATCCCAGGATTGGCCGGTAAATCCAGGGATGAGGAAAACACTATTCCCATTTCCCAGGATAAGCAAAACCCCAGGAAATTTAGAAACCCTAATTCTAGGCCAGTTATCAGAATTTCTAGATCTTGTCCCTACACTGACAGCAACAATAATGACAGCCCCAAAAGTGAGTGACATCCCTTTAGTGACAGCCTCTAGCGGGACAGCTCAAATAGCTGCATATAAGAATTAATGAAGAATGACATAATAATGAAATCTTGCAATACTGATATCTTTTCTTTTTTTTTTTTTCTTTTTTAAACTTAAAATTTTTTTTTTCTTGAGAGGTCATTTTTTTATACTGATGAGTTATTTTTTGGTATTCCTTAAAAAATTAAGATTTATAACATGCTCAAAATGAATGATTATTCCTGAGGAGCCGTGTTGAATGACATACTTTATAATTTTTTGCTTTTTATTGACTTGCATTGGTTTTATACAGATGAGTTATTTTTTGGTATTCCTTAAGCTAAATAGATCTCTGAGAGTTTAAACCCTAAATTTAAAAACATTTTCATCCTTTCAATTCATATTAATAAATTATGGGTGGGGGGAATAAGATGTAAAATAAGTTGACAAATGATTATTATATCATCTAAAAATGAGAAGTGCTCCTGTGACAAGAAGTAGAGCCTCACCACCCCCCCAACCCCTTCTTTTCTTTTATTTTTTAAAGGGGGTTTTGATTGTGGCCAGGGTTTATAGTTTGAAGTAGTTGTGTTATTATAGCCCAGATGTATTGCTTGTTTGTGAAGTAGTTGTGTTATTATAGTCCAGATTTATTGCTTGTTTGTGAAGTAGTTCTGGAATGATTTTCTTTATTCAATCCTAAATTCAACCAAATTTTCTAGATCTTGTCCTATTTTGAATTTTAGCTCTTGATTTATATTAATTTTTAATTTAAAGAAGAAAATATATGAAATAAGTAAATTCATAAATTAAATAATACCAGTAATACATTGGGTAGGATGAAAATAAATATCACTATTGCCTTTGTAGAAAAAGACTAGTTTTCCCACTTCAGTGCCTAAAAAAATGCTATTTATTAATGATGAACATTTTATGTTGAATTTTTTTTTTATCTGATAGAAACTAGAGAAAGAAGAAGATGATTCCTTTATGAATGCTGCATGGGCAGACAGTCACCAATTAAAACGTCAATTCCAAGGCCTAAATAACATCAAATGGGGACCCAGATAAACATTTCTCAGTAATGTGTGGTATTTTTTTTTTTTCACTGGTTGGATTCCATCATTACATGTTTAATTAATTTTTTTTATAGATTTAAAAAAAAAGTAATTATAAATTAATCCTTGAATTTTATGAGGAACTGAAATAATTTTCTGCAAATGGGTAATATTTAAAATTATATTTTTAGTTTTATCATTATTGAGACTTGCAAAAAAGTAATAATGTCTGACATTTTCATTTGAATTATATATGCAATGTAAACCTAATGTGTTCATTCAGATGACTGCCATTGTATGAATGAAATTTTAAAACACTGAACTGGTTGGCAATAAAAATAAAATTGAGCATAAAAAAAATAAATTCTTTTATTATTCTGTTTGTATTATTTTAAAATTTAAGAACATTAAAAAAATTTATAAAAGGAATGCATTGATTATAAAATTAAATTTTTTAGGTTTGATTGATTCTGATGGAATTGATTGAGATTTGCCATAACAAAGATTTTATTAAACAATCAACAACATGAATGCAAAAATGATTTAACCAGACTATTTTTAATGTATTTTTGCTTTTTATTAAAAGTATGCAAAAAAATTAATAATTTCCTATTGGATATATAAAAAAAATAAGGTTAACATTTATCCATTCATTGTAAATATAAATATGAAGTCATGTAAAACCAAGAGAAGACTAGGAATGAAGTAAACAATTACATCAGCTTCAATTAAATTTGTTTTTCCTTGGTGTCTCTGTGAAATTTTAATTAAATTTGGACTTAACAAGATAAGCCATGCACATAATAACCAAATACAATTTTAAACTTAATTATTTACATTTATAAAACCTTATTGACAAGATAGTGGAGCCACTAAGCACTCTCACTCATAAAAAGTTCAAAGGCTACTGTCTCCTGCATTTATTATAAATTTTGAATTCCATCAAATACATTAATTTGTTTCTATTATATTTAAAAACTACATAGGATAAAATTTCATTGAAAACTTCCAAAACTTTAACTCAGTGTGAATGAGGTTGTCAGTTAAGTAAATAATATCACTGTCATTTACTACATTCAGATTTTTATTTTAAATAAAGTCAAGACAAAACATAATTTACAAGAAAAAGATACAGTACATTGCATGATTAAAGACTTTGTGTCCATTTAAAATGAAGGCAAGGAGTGTAAACATTATACACATTTAAATATATACAGCGAAACTGAAGTATCAGCCATTGATGAAGGTTCCACCCCCTAAAGAATTGCCTAAATAATAGTCATTTAATACATTTTACAGTCAAACACTGATGGCAAATTTTAAGATGATAATTTAGGGAAATTATGTGATGAAGCAAACATCCTTTGGCAAAAGTTCATTTATTTGAGCCCTTTAAAACATTTTTAGGTTTTTAAAAAAAAAAAATGTACATTAAATTGATGCATTTGATGATTTACATTCAAAACACAAAAAATAAAGCTACAAAAAATAGTTATTATTATGCAAAGTGATTTTCTTTTAACTGTTCCTTCCTGAATGTTTTGGAAATAAGAGAGTTTAAAAAATTTAAACCTGCACTTTATTATTCAGAATTCAATCCTGGAATCCTAAGACTGTGAGAATGGTTTTGAGATATTCAAAGATTTAAATTGCTTACTTTGCGTAATGAGAATATTAACTTTTTGATTTCAACTAATTACATTCAGATATTTCCTTTATTGGTTCGTAATTTTTAGAAGAATTTTTACCTTTTTTAGATAATATATCTTTAAGTCAAATTTTGTTTAACATATATGAGAACTGTATTGGACATTCATTGTTTAAATAAAATACCCCACCCCCACCAGCCAAAACCAGTGTTTGCAATCTCTGCTAAATGATTGTAAAAACTTACTTAAATATATAAGGCATTTATTCACCATCAGCAATTCTCACAACATTTAATATAAGTTGGAAATTTATAGCATTCTAATGAATTTTTATCTTATGGCCATGAACTTGCCCAGCTTGCGACCATTGAATTCCTAATCACTTCATCATAATTCTCTTCTTTCTTCATAGCATATGTTGCTCCTACTCTTAGTTAAGCAAAGCTAATTCACAATGCTTCTCAATGTAATTTAAAAAAAAAAAATTAAATCAACTTGTTGGACAAAGCATTAGTTAAGTCCATATGCCATTTCACAACCTCATTAAAATTGGTGGTAAGAAAATATTCATAGATAGATATTGCCTCCTTAGTTGATTAGAAACAACTAACAGGGGAACAACCTTAAAAGCGAGAGGCAGCATCACAACATTGGTTTAGTGGTGAGTAAATATATATTAGATTATATAAAAAGGCTTTCCAAAGAGAAGATGAGAGAAGATCTTATCTTTGTTAAATTATGTTTAAAAACTAACATTAGGATACACTATAGAGCTGATGTAATGTTGGTATTGGGTTTCTGAAACTCTGGCAGTGCTCTTCATGGGATCTCTTCAGTATGAAATGAAACATCAGTTGGTCCCAACTTCAATGGATTGCTTCAAATAACAGAGAAATTGTTGAGTAAATCATGAATTATCAGTCACTTGTATTGTCATATTTAAAATAATAAAGGGAAGACAGCCAAGTACCTGGCTATTGCAAGTGTTTCAAGCAACAGGAATCAGGCATTGAACTGCTTCATACAGCAGAAATTAAAAATTATTGGCTTAGCCAGCAAAATTATTGTAAAATGAGCTTGTCTTTGAAGTTTTAAACCAGTGGCTATATTTATATTGTGTGCTGCATTCAAGTTTTCACTAAGCATACTTTATCATGTCACCAGTGCATACTTCTAAATTTGAGGTCAGTTAATGAAATACGTTTAATTTTTTCCATAATTGGTTTTGACTACAATGTGATGAAGCTTTGAACATCCTAACGCAACATCTATCATTTTAAAAAAAAAAAAAGTCTTTTCAGCAACAGCTTTAAAATCCTGTATTAAAACAGAAAAATTGAAGCGCAAAGCAGTTACACAGAAGTACAGAAATACATTTTTTAACAATTATTTATATAAAAGACATTACATTTTATTATTTACCACTATATGAAAGATATTTTGTTAAAAGAGATGCATAATCAATTGATGTGAGATGACTGCCTTTCAGTTGCTTACATGAATCTTAATTAGATTCCTTTTCATAAATGCATTAAATTTCTTTCAGATATGCTTTCTTGTTATTGTAGAAATAGCAATGATTAATAACAGGGTGTAGTTTCACATTGTATAGCTAAAACCCTGGTTAACATTTAATTTAGATGAATATCATGAGATGGAATTTAATATTATCATACATCTATGTACATATCAAACCAAAAATATAATATACGTTCATATAAATAAATGAAAAATGAAATATTTAAAATAAAATGGCTTTATAATTGTTTAAATAATAAATAAATGTACACAATTTTTGCCCGTTTGGTGAAAACAAGAATATATTCAGCTTGCAAAAGGAAGATATTTTTTTCTATTCCTTTTCTCTGATATGATTGAAATACAGCATTTTGAATAATAAAGATGACATGTAAATATATACAATGCATTTATTTTCAAGCAGCAAAATATTAAGAAAAAACATTATGCCTTTTAAAAAAAAACTTTTTCAGCAAGTTATAAGTATAAAAAATGGGGACCCATTAAAATATTTGTTCAAAGAATATCACAACGGAATAACAACAAACCTGATGAAAAAGATTATGAACATGCACATATGAATTTTATTGAACTAAAACTCAATTGTATTTATTGATGGTGATCAACGAAGCCTCCCAAGTAGAAGTGAACTAAAAAAAAGGAAAGAAAGAGAGTGATTGATAGTGATAGGCAAGTTTTTATCGTCCCAAATGCACCTATCCAATAGCAAGGGACCAGTAAATTTCAGTGTTACTTGTGGGCATAGCATTATGTTGATATCTAGGTCCACAGACGAAGCTGATAAAATGAAGAATATTCAAGAACATTTACAGTACCGTAACCAGATCGCGTTTTATTTCTGCATCAAGGAAGAAAGTGCAGCTGTATTAACAAAAGTATTTTGAAGGTTGTCTTGTAATTAATACTTTATGTATTTTGCTTTCTTTATTTTTCTTTTTTGTATCAGAATAATGCGAGTAGCTTAGGTAGATCGAATTGTAGTCAGTGAGTCTGGACTAGTTGAGATTTTAAACATTTTCTTACAGAAGTGTGAAGTGTGACCTTTTCCCAGATTCCTGATTTCTTTGACTCCAAATGATTTCATTTAATGTTGCTTCAATAAAATTTCAACTCCATGCAAGTAAAATAAATTAGAGATCATATTAGGCCCCAGCTTGGAGATTTACAAATCAAAATGTTTTAAAAATTGAGCATTGTCTATTAGTGCAACTTATTTTTCAGATATTTTTTCTAAGAAGAAAATATTTCCACCCTTAATAAAAGCAAGATGGTTACTGAAAGAAAAATTTGATCAATATTTCATCTAGCTATTGTGTACAATTTATTTGATGGAAATGGGTTTTACAGTAATACTTTTTAAAGTACACACAATAAGAAATAAGACTAACGTCTCTGGGTTTTTAAAAAAAGATTCTGCTCAATAAAAAATTATTTGTAACCTAGAAATTTAGCAATTTCAAGAGAGAAATTAGTCTACTTTTGCCCCTTGAAAAAATTATGTGAAATAATTTTGTAAAATTAAAGCTAAATTTCAAATTTAACATACAATAAATATTGCAGTTTACAAACAGCCTGATTGATGAAATATTGGCACAATGTTAATAAAAGAGAGTTACTCTCAAGATCAAGATACAACTTTGTACCACTTTATTCTTGCAAAGAAGCACTGGCAAATTATTCTTTAAAAAAATTAACTTTCTATTGCTTTCAGTAGCCTTTCTTTTATTATACTTCATGTTTTTTTATGTTTTTAAAAACTGACCCATTTTTCCAACTATGCAGTGATAAAAATTTCAAAATTATTAAAAAATAATTATGATTGGATAATGTATCAAAACCAATATTAACAAATCAAAATTGTTGCTTTTATTACCAAACCAATCATTAAGATGATAAGATGTGCCCCATACTTTCCTTTAAAACTATTCTTATAAAATAAATACCTCACTGACTTTTGAAAATCTAAAAAAAATCTTAACTGGTTGTATATTCTCCTTCATGATATTTAAAAAAAAAAATTACTTTTTATTAACTAGCAGTGCCCAAATATTGCTCATAATTTATTAACCGTAATAATTTACTAAATCTCTATTATGTGAGTTGCTGCGTAAACTTCTCAGTGTGCTGCGAGGACTAAAGCGAACAACTTCAATTCTGTCCATTGAGTCTGAATGTTCCAGCATGGGGGCATCAAGAGAGCTGTGGTTGTTGATGTGAGCACTGCGATGTGTGGGCTCTGATACATCCAGGCGGGCTCTGATGTTGCGACGAAAGTTACAGCAGACTTTAACAAGGACAACTACCAACATGACAATTATACCAAAGCAGATCCCCAGCGTGAAATAAAGCCAAGCTTTTTCTTCATGTGCTGCAAAGACAAAAAAAATTAAATAATTAAATTTAAGTTGATATAAAATAAAAGTGAAACGATCAATGTTTACATCTGCAGCTATTCCTGCACACATTTTTGTTGTTGATTTAACATTCTCTCTTCTTTGATCCTGAAAAAAAAATTAAACACACTTTTTGGGACTGACTGCTGCACTTAAATGTCCTACCAATACTGCAGTGGTCACAACTGACACTAAATTTTGTTGTTGAAGACAAACAAATTTATTGGTCTCTGAGAAAAAAATATTAATCTGGTAACAAAAGTAAGTTGCCCCTTTCTAAAAACCACACACTAGGCAAGCATTTCCTTTAAAGTTAATATTACAGCAATCTGTATCAATATGGCTGATGGCTGTTTTTCAAATAAAATTATTATTTTTTTAAAAAAATGAGGCGATTCTTTAAGTTTTGGAAAAAGTTATGTCTAATTTTAATTGTGATAATGTGTCAGACTTTGATGCAGCCGAAGGCAAATTGAATTTTAGGGAGCTCTACCACCAGGCATATTTAGACTAATCTTTTAAAACGTTGTGACAGCATCAGCAAATAAAAATTATATACTCAATGCTAAAATTGTTGAGATAAGTTTTCTCAAAATTTAAAACAAAATTAGATAACTAAATTTCACATATAATTCTGTTTATAACTGGAAGTTTTTAAACAGATTAAACTTAAGTCCTAGATTGAGGGGATCCCCAAATTCCTTTTCCATATATTATAGATAAAAATGTATTAACGCACATTTTTAAAAATGTTATCATGATCTGATTAAATGTTTCTGCACTTTGTGTTCCCTTGAACTCAACAGTAAAATTTTTAAAAGCTGACTGAAACATTATGATAGTTACAACCTCATTATTGAAAAATAATTAACCACTTCAATACTGCAGGGTTTTGGGGGGCACAATTTTTTGCTGACTCAGCAACAACAAAATTAAAAGAGGAAATTTTCAGTATATCTCATTCTCTATCCCATTCGCTTTTTAACTTCTCTATAGATTAACGAATAAGGAAATATATAGCATTGAAATTTGACATCGACGTGACGTCCTGCGGTATTTCAGAAAAGTTCTAAAATTTTTGTTATGACGTCGATGTGACGTCCTTGGTAATTGAAAGTGGGTGATCACGACGTCGACCTCATCAGTAATGAAGTGGTTAATAATTGATAATAAACAAAAAAAATTATCAATCTCTAACAATAAATAGAGTGCACTCACTTTTGAGGTAGTGACAAATACTAAGCCAGTCTTTGAGAAAACCAATAGTCCTATGGTCTCTTGGTCTCTGCATCCCACCCCACCTGACATCTGGACGGGTATAATTCATACACAGAACAGTCAGATTACGCTCTGTAACAAAAGGTGAGTCTTTTTTCTCCATTGTATAATTTGAATTTGACACAGATTCATGGTCTGGACCTGTGTCTTTGTGAATGTTCGTAGACACTGTGGAGTAAGTTGTCTCAACCGGAGGAGACCTCGTCGGACTAACAACAGAGGTGTCTTCCTCAAAACTGTTGTTATCCTCATTCTCAACATGATTAGTGTTGTTACTGCTGCCTGAATGAGGTCTGCTGTTATCGAATTCCTCACCACTTTCTCTAACATGACCTGCATTGTTTCCATTCGGCTGCCTGCTGCCTGAATCATCCTTATTGTCTTTGTGCTGATCAGCTGAACTGGGCGATAAGATGACGGATGTTGTGATGTCTTCAAAGCTTTTATAATACACTTCATCATTGGTTTTCTTGTTTGTGTCGGTGGATGAATCCTCCGTTGAAGGCTCTGTGATGATGACATCATCAAAATTGCTCGCCTCTCGGTGGACTGTGCTAACATCCAGCTCACTTGTCCTCTCATCAACTGAGGTGACATCATCCAGTCCAGGAATCTTGTCCTGCACTGTTGTGTCATCCGTTGCTTTGTCGTCAAGATGTGTTGAAGATTTTTGGTTCTCTTCTTGCCTTACAGAACCTGGTAAAAGAAAAAAAAATTCAGTTGCTATAGTTACCAGAACACCAATAATTACAAGCAGCAGAGCAGATATTTGGTGCCTTTTTTGCCTGATAAAATATAATAAACAGATTTTATAAAGATGGCCACTCTAAAAACATTTTCTTACATAAATAAAAAAAAATTAAAAAATATATTCAAAAATAATAATGAACAATTGTTAAATAAAAAAAAAAGAAATAATTCAGACTCCCCCATTGTCATGACATTTGTGTACAAAGTAACCATCTGTAAAGACTTGTCCATCCTAAATTGACTAAGTGTATCAAGGTTTCTTAATACCAACGATCACAAACATGTTTCAGTGACATATTGAATTGTCACAAACATGTTTCTTGTTTCCTTGACCAATTGTCACGAGCCTACTTCGTGCTTCACCGACTAATCGTCACAAACCTGCTTCATGTTTCAGTGACATATTGTCACAAACCTGTTATATATTTCACCTGCCTATTTTGACAAAACCATTTCCTGTTTCACTGACCTGTTGTTACTGCCTCCTCACCCACTTTTGTCACAGGCAGCTGCTCAAAGGTCACGTAAACCTCTGGCAATGATGGCGCTGAACTAATGTCAGAGGCAGACTGTGTTGATGATGAGATGTCTGTGAAATTGTCATCTCTTGGCAACTTGGTCACCTTCTCTTGGTCCTTCTTCTTCTTCTTTTTCTTCTTCTTGCGGTTTTTCTTTTGGTGGATTTGCTTTAAGATTTTTCTCGGCACTGAAAGTATCAAAGTTATCTGATCAAAGTATCAAAGTTATCTGATCAAAGTATCAAAGTTATCTGATCAAAGTATCAAAGTTATCTGATCAAAGTATCAAAGTTATTTGATCAAAGTATCAAAGTTATTTGATCAAAGTATCAAAGTTATCTGATCAAAGTATCAAAGTTATCTGATCAAAGTATCAAAGTTATCTGATCAAAGTATCAAAGTTATCTGATCAAAGTATCAAAGTTATCTGATCAAAGTATCAAAGTTATCTGATCAAAGTATGAAAGTTATCTTATCAAAGTGTTAAAGTTATATAAACAAAGTATCAAGGTTATCTGATCAAAGTGTCTAAGTTATCTAAACAAAGTATAAAAGTGATCTGATCAAAGTGTCAAAGTTATCTGATCAAAGTAACAAAAGTTATCCGATCAAAGTAACAAAAGTTATCCGATCAAAGTATCAAAGTTATCTGATCAAAATATCAAAGTTAACTGATCAAAGTGTCATAGTTATCTGAACAAAGTATAAAAGTGATCTTATCAAAGTGTCAAAGGTATATAAACAAAGTATAAAAGTTATCAAAGTTATTTGATCACAGTATCAAAGTTATCATGTGAAGCAAAACATAAATTTGTAATGACGTCACTTTCTTTAAAAGAACACAGAAATTCAATTTGACCAATAGGAACTCGGAATATTATATAAATGGATGTAAAGGGAAATAACAACTTTACTATTTTAGACTACGTGTATATTGTTGCCCCCCTTACTTAAATAAAATCTGCCCTATCTGACAAAGATTAAATGTACCCGGTTCATCTTCTACTCTGATAAGGAAAATTCTATTCCTAGAAACTACACCCAACTTGTTGCGCAGGCTTAAACCAGCTGCTCTCAGTACGTCACGGGGGCAGCTTTCAACAAAATCTGGTAAATTTATTTATCTTTTAACCTTAAAAAGGCTCTCCTCCACTTTTTCAATAGTCTTAGAAGCCTCGATTTCTACCAAGGCTAGGGTGAAAACTGGGCTGGGATACAGCTGCCACATCCTTACCAGTGGGAATACAAGAATCTGTCAGTCCAACATGAAAATGTACAGCTGCTTTTTCCTTCCAAATGGACGCATTTTCCATTTCTAGATTGGGCCACGACAACGAGTCGATAGTGGAACATATGAGACCAGAGATGAAAGCCCACATATGCCGGTAACAGAAGCATTAGCACGTGCGCATGTCGTCTGAATGACACATAGTGTCTACAGGAGTGGGGGGAGAGGACTTCATGATAAGGCTTCTGGGTTTGAGGTTGTGCAGATGTCTGCAGCCATGATTTTTTTTTTTTTTTAAGCGGGGAAAAAGATTACTGAAGGTTTCATGGATCATTCTGGTGAGTTTATGAAGAATACACCAAGGTGCAAGTGTAAGTGAATATATATGAAGACCACAAGGGAAAAAACGGCAGAGTCACATTTTTGTTGTTTTGAGATATTCGATTTTTAAAGTTCAAAACCATGCACATTAAAAATGTGTTAACAAAGTGTAATTTTTAAAATGCATTTCACAAGAGTGTCCATTTCCCTGAGTTATTAAATAGATAAATTAATTCAAACTTGAATGTAACATGATTTATTTCATTATAGTAGAGAGTGGGGTCAAAATGGACTCTGCCGTTTTTCCCCTTGTAGTAATTTATCAAGGTTTGATCATTGCTAAATATCTATTTAAAACTATTTTATAAGTAAATTTTCACATTTAGGGGTCACTGGCAAATTAGGTCACCTTTAGAGGGGGTGGGTTGAGAATATGCGACACTTTTTGGGAGGGGGGGTAAAAAATTGTGACGTCACTTTTTTGTCATCTCTAAAAGTTTCTAATTCTAAAAAAAAAAAAAAATCATAATTTAATTGATTTTAAAACATTAATTTGAGGTCAACTTTGCCTCAGGTATTATAGTATGGTACCATAAAACTCGGTTTTCTAGTAATACTGCATCTTATCATTATAGCAGTGGTTCTCAACCTTCTTAATGCCGCGACCCTTGAATGCAGTTCCTCATATAGGAAATGCATAGCACTTTAATAAATAATTTATATAGAGGGGACCCCCCCCCCCCCCCCCCCAAAAAAAAAACAAAAAAAAACAACAAAAAAAACAACAAAACAAATAAAAAACCATACACGTTTATGGTAAAATAATTTGGCGAGAATCCCAAAAAGAAAGGTCTGCCTGAATTGGGGTGACCCAATGACCCTGTGTCGTGTTGTGGAACCTGTATGAAATATTGAACACTGATGAATTGAAGAGCCGTGTTTGTCTTGGAAGGTCCTAATGTGGCACTAAATACATTCATTAATAATTTAGCTTGAGCCATGGGTGGTTTTCAGAGTGTATCACGTGTGTCTATAAATAGATATCCCCCCCCCCCCATAACACCCTTACGTTAACTCCTCAGTTGGATGTTGTGAACCACTCACGCGATGTGGTTTGGGGGAGGGGGGAAAACTACTGTAACACTAACACGTAGTATGCAAATTTTCAGCACTTACCACATGCGTAGGACACAGTGAGGTACTTGTGGGTGCCCATGGGGCAAGGGTCGCCGAAGATGCTCTCGTTGGCCTGGATGGCACAGTTCCTTTTCCCGTGACACTGGGTGCGGACCTCTGACACCGTCTCGGCGGCTTGGCAGTCTGGGGGGTGGGAGAGGCGAGGAAAAGTCATTTGTGAGGGAATATATGACCAGGGCAAGTAAGGAGTCAGTACCAAAACAAGTTATTATAGAAATTGCATTCAATTTTTTTGTGTGGATAAATCCTCTTTTAAAAGTAGAGATATGTTTACTCAACAACGTAAATGCATTACATGATACATGATAAATATTATAATATGTATAATATATACGTAATACATTTTAATAGTTTATATGACTCTTAAACTTTTGTTTAAAAAAAGCTTTTACTAATTTAAAAAAAAATTTTTTTTTCCACCACTGACTTTTTTTTATGTGTGTGTTAGGTTAAAAGATAGTCTAGTGTTAAGATGGTGGTCAAGTATACCTGTAATGTTCTTTTTTTTTTTTTTTTGGAAAAACGTACTGTCTGGGTGATAATGAAAATATAGTGTTGGGTTATTATTCAAAAATACTGTTGAGTTCAGAAAAAAAGCGCCAAAAGATGATGTTTTTTTAAATTTGTTTATGTCCAAGATTCTGTTGGGCTGACAGCTATAAAGATAGCGTTGGTGTTATTAATTTAAAAAAAAAAAAAAAAAAAAAAAAAAAA